TCCCATAAATTTTCGGATGAGTAGGTTAGGGGAGTGGACTCAGGGAACTTCAAGAGATGAGCTGCCAAAAGTAGAATCGTTCAAGGAAAATTGCCAAAACGATAAATATCCAGAGGAAAATAACAATTGTTTTCCAGACAAAATATCCGAAGTAGAGATTTCTGCAAGCAGGTTGCAAAAAAATGATTTAATATGATAAACATCAGCACAAGCAAAACATAGAACAGGCACTAAAAGTAGAGTTTTCCAGAGTTCCCGCAAAAGCGACAGAACGTACAGGCACTTGTAGTTTCTTAAGGAACAAGGTAACAAACAAAGGTAGCCACAAGTTTGCTTCACTCAAAATCTCACAGCAATACACTTCGCCACAAAATTATGCCATAGATCACCGCACTACGCTTCACCGCGCCAACTTATACAAACCATCGCTTCACATATCCGCCGACCCCCGCCTAGCTGACGCCTATAGGCGGGGCAGCGCCAGGGACAGCGTAGCGAGAAGCGATTGCCACCTGCATGCTCTGCGTTCTCTGCTCTCTGTCATTGCTTGGTTGAAGCCTTGCTGCGGCGACACCAGTCTCCGGAATACACCTGCAGCTACCTGGGGCTTGCCATGGACTCCTCTTTCTATGGGGTTCCGGAGGCAACGTTAGACCCTGTCAGCGGTCGCCCCGCGGCAACGTTCAACCTCCAGGGCCAGGGTGCTTCGCTGCGGCGAGACCGAGGTTTTGGTCACCGAAGCACGCCTGCAGCTACCTGGGGCTTGCCCTGGGCTCCTCTTTCTATGGAGTTTTGAAGGCAACATAAGGCAACGTTAGACCCTCTCAATAACATCTTCGTGCACAACTAGACGCCTCGATTTCTGGTAAAGTTTACCAGTTGGTAGGCCCCCGAAGTAAGACGAAGTAAGAAATGCTGGCTTGAAATCGATGCCAAAAAGGGTTTTAATTTAGCTCCTTTTTAGCGTGGATTTCGAGCCAGCATTTCTTGCATCGTAACCCTGCCTCTGCACCCAGTCAGTACTGTAGGAAACAAAAGTCTGTTTTCTTGGAGTCAGTCCACGGAACGTCCGCCGAAGCGCGAAGTGTTGGAGTCATAGCTTTCCAGCTTTGAGAGTCATAGCTTACTAGCTTTTCAGCCGCGCATCCGGGCGTTAGCCTATTCCAGCGACGCCGTATGGTGTAGCGTATCGCCTATAGCTGTATAGCTACGGGGGTGCTCCTGACGCCTGCGACACCCCCCTTACGGTGTTTTGCGAAATCGAACTAACAAAATTGCGCTCTCGCCTGCACACTTCGAGCCGTTTTTGCCCCTGGAGCGATTCCAAAAACGGCAAAACGAGCAATGTAGCAAAATCCTTGAGCCTGGTGGGGGAGAAGCCTTCTGGGGGAGCCAGCAGGTCGAAAAAATCGTCAAAAAAGCGAGCAACTTGGACAAAACAATTGGATCTGGAAAGGAGCTGGGTTTGGGCCTTACAGGGACATCTTCGAAGCCCTTTTTCGGTTTGCGCCAAGGCGCAAAACACGGTAAATTACAGCGCTTTCACAAGTTTCGATCTAGAAAAAACATGTCGCAGCGTCGCAAAAACTGCGTGAATATCGAGGTGGAGTGGACCGGGGTGGAGGGGAGTGGAGGTTGAAGGAGTCCCAGTTTGATGTTAGTACGGTTTTCGAACTGCCAGAACCCTGAAAATCTACATCTATATAAAGGTTTTGGGTGGTTGTGAGGAGTGCTGCCTGGGCCCAAAGATACCAAGAGAGGTTGAGACAATTAAGGGATGGAATCATTAGATCCACAAACTCATAATACTCTCAAAACACGGCCGGGGCCAGTTGAGAGGTGACCACTTGAATGGAATGGGGTTTAGCTGCAGGGCCATGGAGTTCTACGTCGTGAAACGGCCACTTTGGCCCAACTATAAGCCATCTGACCCCAATACAATTAAGCGTTTCCATGGGCACAGCTCCAGCAAATCCACTGCGCCATTATCCTGAGACGCTCATGTCACGTGACAAGAAACCTGATGGCGCTGATGGCAACATCAAACAATGAAAACTAATCCCAGCTGAGCTTCTGGGTGGAAGTGGCTCATCCACAATTCCTCCCTCATGCAGTTCTCATGGACATGGTCCTCATGCCTAAGTAACATCTCTCAAGTAAACAGAAATGCAAAAACAACTGAATTCTAATTTGATGCATCAATCTAATGTAGATGCCAAGAAACTTCCTGATCAACCTGTTGTACCTGAGCTGCTTCAGTCACGCCACGCCTCATAGGTTTCTTGTTTGCGATTGCTTGCTATAGGCCAAACAGGGTGACTTCGCGGTGCCAAAAGTTGAGTGTGATTAGCAGTGTTGTTTTGAAGAAAGAACAAAACATGACCGGGCTATCTGAACAGAGTTTCACTGGAAACATGTAGTCAGCTGAAATCAGTGACGCAATCTAAAAAACACAAACATGGGTTTTCCAAGTCTTACCTTTGGCAAGGTTTTGGGTGCTCAAATTGCCCTGACAAAGCCAAACCATCCAAGAAATTACTTTACTTCGAGTGATCCCCGCCTGGCATCTACCTGGCATTCTATCTGGCATATCTTCTGGCATTTTGTCTGGCATACTATCTGTCATTCTATCTGGCATATCTTCTGGCATTCTATCTGGCAATGTATCTAGCAATCTATCTGACACACTATTTGGCATACTATCTGGCATATCTTCTTGCAGCATTCTATCTGGCAATCTACCTGGCATTCTATCTGGCATTTTATCTGGCAAACTATCTGGTTGAGGTGCAGCGGCGCGCACTGTCATCGGATCCTTGCAGTTGAGGTCCAGCGGCGCACACTGCGATCGGATCCTTGCGGTTGAGGTCCAGGGGTGCACACTGCGGTCGGATGCTTGCGGTTGAGGTCCAGGGATGCACACTGCGATCGGATCCTTGCGGTTGAGGTGCAGGTGTGCACACTGCGAGGGGATCCTTGCGGTTGAGGTCCAGGGGTGCACACTGCGCTCGGATCCTTGCGGTTGAGGTACAGGGGTGCACACTGCGATCGGATCCTTGCGGTTGAGGTCCAGAGGTGCACACTGCGATCGGATCCTTGCGGTTGAGGTCCAAAGGTGCACACTGCAATCGGATCCTTGCGGTTGAGGTCCAGGGGTGCACACTGCGAGGGGATCCTTGTGGTTGAGGTCCAGGAGTGCACACTGCGATCCGGAGCTGGCCAGACAAGATCGGCGAAGCAGATTGGCGAGAAAGGAAGCAAGGAGGAATGAAGGAAGGAAGGAAGGAAGGAAGGACGGAGGGAAGGGAAGGGAAGGGAAGGGAAGGGAAGGGAAGGGAAGGGAAG